CGCCGAGACCAGCAACCCTGCTGCTATGAAGACTGCTGGCGCCGCTATGGGTATTGGTGCTCTTGGACTCGCTCTCGGTATGTTGTAGATCAGTACCGACACCATCAAAAGTAGCAGTATCGTCTTAATCATTGGGCGTGGAATTTGGAAGCTCAGGTAGTACCCTTGGAGCTTGAAAAGGTCTATCGACTGTGCATGTAACGACTGTATATATAATGCTATATGTCTTATCTTACATTCGTATCGTCGCATAATGTATTGGACGTGATTCACTAAAATAACGAAATAAAGCGATGGCTTTACAAATGTTGTTGCACATTGTCTACTTGACCATCATCCCTTTGGGTATTCTGCCGACTACCACCGTCTATCAGCAGGCACATGTATCATTAACGCTGAAGCCGGGAGGGTCTCTTTTAGAAACAAGTTCACAAAGGAGATCTCGCTGATATATTAGAGGGATACGTCATCTTTTGTACCCTTCAATACCATCATGCTAAGTACCTCGTGTATGGCAAACATCCGTAGGCTGGCACCGATGCTTTCACAAGCCGTGACCGTAATCGGCAACCTAACACTGGGATATTGCTAACCCCTCCGAACACGGCTAGGAATCAGAAAGGCCCAGTTTCATGACTTTGAATTGGTTTCATTGTGTATCGTATAAATGGACGCTGTCCTTCCGGGTATCATGATTGCAAAGATCAGCACCCAAATTGCCATTGTATCCCAAACACCTTGAACTAAACAAGGCCCCGCGGCAAGCAGATGAACGATTGCAGTGGCCTGTCACGTTAGAACGACACAAACGTAGAAGTCCCATTTAGCACCTTGGAGTCATGTGCCTACTCCTCTGTTTGCATAAGCATCGACGAGCGCATCTTGACGTCTTCAAATCCGCGTCCAGTGTCAGCAAGCTTGGCTTTCTTGCCGGCGAGGTGATGAGCTTGGATGAATTCCGGGAGATTAGCCATAGCCAAGTCGCGGTATTTGGAGAGGTACGGCGCCTTGGGAAGAAGCTCACTGTACGCGATGCGACGGGTCTTGAACCACGTCTCGTTATGAAGGGCGGCGTAGGCACCAAGAGCAGTAAGGGCGTTGTTGACGGCAGTATCATCACACATAGGGGCCTTTCAATACTTGGCAGTGAACATGCCCGTCTCCAGTACCAACTTCTCAAACTCGTCAAAGGTAGGTGAGGATGGCTTGCCCAGACTGTTGGTCAGTTCGATGTGTGCATAGTGCCTGATGTTCTCCATCTCCCATTCGATAGCTATGATGAGCATATCGACATGAATATGCGAAGCCGTAATGCCTTTTGGGATGGGAGGCTTGGTGGAAGGCGGTGTAGTCGCATGATATAGCTGCTGTTGATCAATCAGCTTGACGACGCGGTAGTCGCCAACATGCTTGATGTGCGTGACACAGCAATCGATTGCATGAGGTGGGTGGTTGAGCATTTTGATCGTCTGTGTCATTGGCGGGCTCTTCGAGAAAAGTTAGTACCAGACCACTATATCGAAGCACCCAGCTGGGTTGTTTGTGCTTACCAAGTCCTTCGACATCTTCTGAGAGTAGAGCATGGCGATACCCCTAGGCACCTTCCAAGCGCTATCTTTGGGACCAGCAACGATAAGATCGCACAGCAAGCCATGATATAGAAGACTCAACATACTAATCTGATTAGAGCCGGCCTACTTGTGCGTGGACACGGGGTCGACGTTGGACATCAGCGCCCCACCACGCTATTCACCAATCGCGCCTGCATCGACTAGGAACAACGGCTAAACCCCGAGTACGCAGGAACGGCTTTGTGATAGTGTAGTCTATTCTATCCGTTTTATCTAAGTGTCGAGCTGGGTATACCAAACATGCATGCCCCCGCCTACGCTATCTTCTCAACCGTCAACGAACCCTCCGCACCACCCTCCAACGCAATGAGCCCACACGACTCAATCTGCTTCTTCCACTTAGTCGACTCATACCTCGCCGTAATTACCGTCAACCTCAGAACCGGCTCTTCTTCGCTGGAGCTCTCGCCAGCTGGTAGCGGAACGGGCGTAAACGTCCAGCGGCCGAACGACCAATTCAGAATATATCTTGCCCGACCTTCCGGTACTTTCTGATGCGCATCGGCATCAGCATCTGATGATTTCGGTGGCATTGAAGAGTACAAGATGCCTTTTATCCGGTATACCTCGTCTTTTGTAGGGTCCTCGAGGAGTTTGGCGAGTTTCGCAGTGTCGACACTACTATTTCCATCCTGGCTTTTCAGTGTGACTGTGAGGACCTCGACTTCGCTGGAATGATCATGGTCATGTTCATGCGCATGTTTGCTTCCGTTCTCTTCCGTGACACCTGCCAGCCTCGCGTCCAGTCCGAACACGATGTCCTTATCCACCCACCCTTTCCTGCTCTTCGTCCTGGGTATTTGTGGCTCCACCTCCAGCGCTAGCACTGCGTCTTCCACATCTTCCAACCGTCTCTCGCTGACAAGCTCGTGCTTGTTGAGAACAATGAGATCGGTGTATCGTGCCTGCATTTTCGCCGTGTAGCTTGTGTCCTCGTAGCCCTTCCAATTCTCCACGTCAATCACACTCATGACTCCATCTAGAACGTATTTCCCCGTCTCCCTGCTCAGTCGGTTTACTTCCATGGCGAGGGTTGCGGGGAACGCGGAGCCTGAGGTCTCGATGACTATGCGGTCAGGGTTTACGTCGTTGGCAAGCGTTTCGAGGGCGTCAGAGAGCTGCCCGACGAGGTTGCAACATATGCACCCATTGAGCAGTTCTTGTACACCGGATATGGCAGCCGAGGAGGCGAGCGCTGTGTCGACTTTGATATCGCCATATTCGTTCTTTAGGAGCGCGAGCTTGTACGTTTTGGGTAGTTGGGGAATCAGGTTCAGGATGAGTGCTGCGAAGTTGTTAGCACGACTTTGACCATTTTCGATTTGATTTACACGTTCTCGACACCTTCTGCACGCGTAATGCGATGTGCTGGTATCGTGCTACTAGGTGCTGAAAAGAAAGCGGCTGAAAATTACTACATACTGGTTTTACCCGAGCCCAAGAAGCCCGTGATGATGGTAATAGGTATCATGGCGATGACGACAACAGCACAGACGCGTCGATCCGACTGAAACCCCTCAAAGAAGCAAAACGACCTTCCAAGGTTACAGTCGCAAGGTTCCTCGCACGTGCAAGTCGCGATGGCGGAGCTTGGCCTCGCGAAGGGACTAGTTTCAGGTTCCGCGATGGCGGGGTGTCTGATGACGTCGGCGCGCATTGGGCGGGCAGTGTCGACCAAGACCAGCATCGCATCAGGTACGTCGCCCGTAGCCTCCTTCCAGGCTGCGACACGCACCTATCAAACACACTTAGCTCCAATACCAAGGCTGCTGTCATCAAGGACTAGATCTTGATTGACCCCATTGACCCATCGGTGCTCCCGTTTCCAAGATCAACCATCCCTGCCATGCAATCAGCTGGTTAAATAGCTCTCTCTCCTCCAGTGCACTCAGCCTACCACTCATCACAACCTCACACGACTACTTTCACCCTCTGACTGTGACTCTTTACTTACTGAACCTACCTTCAATTACAACAAACAAACATCATGGATTTCGTCAACAAGCTCGCCGGCGGCGGTAACAACCAAGGCCAATCCGTCAACGAGCAAGTCGTCCAAGGCCAGGGCTCTGAGCAGAAGTCCTCCGGCTCCGGTGGCTTCCTCGGTGGCATCGGTGACAAGCTCAACTCCGCTGCTGGCGGCGGCAAGGAGAGCGAGAAGAACGAGGACTACCTCGACAAGGGTATGTCGTCCACTGCCCCCACTCACGTCTATAGTGCCCTGCTATGACTGCCTAACATATGCTGACTGTTTATGATAGGTGTCGACTTCGTCCAAGAGAAGTTCATGGGCCAGGGTGCTCAGGACAACGAGTCCGCCGTCGAGCAAGCCAAGGACGAACAGATCAGCGACTTCATCCGAGGCCAGTACAAGTCTACAACTGGCTCCGATATCCCCATCAAGGACAAGGAGACTCGTCTCGGTTAAGCTGTTGAGCTGGGACAAGGCGTGATGGTGGATATACCATGAGCCGGGAGGACAGGAGATCCGCTGGCCATCGACTACAATCACAATGATAAGGTTATGATAGTCATGAAATGAAACAATGACAATACACCACAAGCAAGAACCTGATGTTTATTGCAATCGTCTCCGAGGCGATGTGATTCGTGTGTACGACTTATACACCCTGTGAAGACCGAAGCAGATAGTTTTGCGAGGCCTTGCTGATATGTGCTCATACATGTGTGGTCGCAAGACACGTGTTGCTTCCACCTGTTCCCATGAACGCTGGTCCATCGCATCTCTATACAATACAACACATCCATATCTTACAGCTGCTCAATACCCTCAACAAGTCTATCAAGACTTGCTTCCGATCCATCAGTCAACATCCCTTCACCATGCGCGACCTGCTTCGTGTTAGCACTCCTCTCGCCCCACAAGGAAAAGAACCAATGGGTAAGCGAGCGCTGGCACTCACCATCCTACACTTTGGGTACGACTTACAAATTCCCCAGTTTACAAGCCCCCATACTCTCCTCCAATTCCGCACTCTTCACCTCGGCCACATCAATGACCTTCTCAGGTACCCTTGCCAACCGCGCAACGTTCAGGCCGTAAGATCGGTGACTAATACCTTCGGTAGCTTCGTACAAGACACGACTTCTTTCCCGCCATTCTGCTCTTCAAAGCGCATATGAACGTTCTTGAGCTCACCGTTGGAGAAGCGGCTCGACAGTTTGGCCAGATGCTGGTAGTGCGTGATGAAGAGCGTGAGCGACTGCAGGTCCCGGATAACATAGTCGAGTACTGCTTCTGCGATGGCGACACCGTCAAAGGTTGACGTGCCGCGACCCAGCTCATCGAGAATGATGAGAGAACGGGGCGTTGCAGATTTGAGTATGTCCGAGGTTTCGTTGAGCTCAACCATAAAGGTCGATTCACCTTTGAGCATGTTGTCGAATGCGCCCATGCGAGTGAAGACCGCGTCTAGCATGCCAAGTCGTGCTTCGTTCGCGGGGACGTAGGAGCCTATTTGGCCCATGATGGCGATTAGAGCTGCAGACCGCACATAGGAGGATTTCCCGCCCATGTTGGGGCCTGTGATGAGGAGAGCACGGGTGGAATCGTGTGAGAGGGAGAGGTCGTTGGGTACATAGTTTTCGAGGAGTATTTGCTCGACCATGGGATGCCGACCACCAGCGATGTTGAGCCCGATGTCGTCTGTGAAGGTCGGCTTGACGTAACCTGGCTGGCTTGCCAAGGTAGCCAGGGAGAGGAGGGCGTCGAGCGTGGCTAGAGAAGCTACACAGTCTCGCAATTGTTGGTACTTGGATGATATCTCCTCTAACAAAGCTATGTAGGCTTTGTCGCATGCTGCCGCTAGCGACTCCTTGTACTGATCTCGCTCTTGTAGCATGCGCTTAACCTCTGGCGTATGGAAACGTAGTGTAGTCTTCGTAGCTGAGATCTGCTGCCACGAAGCTGGCACTTTCTTCTCTTCGGGTGCCTTCCTCTTGACCTCAATCAAGTACTCGATGCCAGCTACAGTGACGAAGTCTACTTTGCTCTTCCCCAGCTTGGCAGCTGCGTCCTTTCGGTGAGTATTGAGGTCGTCTTCCACAGAGGCAATGCTCAATTTCAGATCGTTAATGTCTTCCGCCTCATGTTCTTCGCGGAAGAACGAGTACTTGTCGTCGTCTTTTGCGGCTTTGGCATTGATCCTCTCCAGAAAGCTGTTCAAATCATCGTATATCTTCGGAACATTCGAAACGGCTTCGCTCAGTAGTGACGAGGAGAAGCCACTTTGTTCGGGTGTCTTCGCCGACAAGTATTGGCTCGAAATCTCCTGCAGACTTTGCAAAGCTGCCAACAATTCCGGCCTTGTGCACTTCTTGTAGTATATGCGGATGAGCACCTTTTCGAGATCGGTCCTGATCTTTCCGAGCACGAACTTGAGCTTGTCGACAGGGATGGTGTTCTCGCCCTCCTTGAGCTCTTCCACCGCTGCTATGCGCTCTTCTAATCTCTCCTTATCTATCAGCGGTCGGCCAACCCACTTTCTCAGCAACCGTTGCCCAAAGCGGGTCTTTGTTCTGTTCATGGTCCAGAACAAGCTGCCCTTCGAGGTGTAGTCCGTTTGATTCTGGTAGATCTCCAAACTAGAGAGTGTGTTTCCGTTCAGCAACATGTAAGACCTGGCACTGAAAGGCTGAAAGTACTTTGTGAGATCAAAGACGTGTTCCAGACCGTACTCACTGAGATATGTGATCATCGCTGAGAGGCAGATGGTTACATGCTCCGACAACTGATGTACCTTGTCCAGAACAGCGCCTTGCTTTTCCGAGTCTGCTTCCTGGCTGGACTTCATCTTGCCCGCGTAGAAATTTGAGATGTGACTGTAGGCCTGTGCAGCCATTGTTTTCGGCTTTTCAACCCTCTCCACCCGCGATCTGTCTCCGAAGACGTTGGTCTTACTGGCTGATAGATGTTGTATCAGCTTGTCTGTAGCCTTGGACATGTCGCCAACTACGAGGAACTCTGCTGGCGCGATATGAAGCAAGCGTGTCTCGATCTCGCTACGCATGAATCCATCTTCGAAATCATCGTAAATGATATCGCCAGTCGCAGGCTGGACAGCCACCAACCCGACTTGTACTTTCTCGTCAGTACCCCAGCCTTTTGCATTGCTCTCGGTGATACAAAGCAGATATCCGGTCGACTGTACGCTTGCGCCTGAGCCCTCGGTAGGCGCCTCCAAGCCCTCAACATCGTCCACATATGTGCCTTTGGTGTAGATTGGTGAGCTTTCGTACGAAGGGAGCATTCCTATTGGTACCAGCCGCTTTAAGCGCGGCTGTCTCTAGCTGCCTGACGACTCCGACCTTGTGGTTTGCTTGTACGAGACGCTTGACGTGGGACTTGCCAGTCGATGCGTGGGGAAGTTGGCGGACGCGAATCGGTCGAGGTGGGCTCGGAAGGGTGCTCGTCGTATCTGAACTTTCCTGAAATAGTGGTTATCCCAAGTTAGCTTGTATCACATCAAGTTCATCCTGGAGTTCTTACCTGGTATGCAGACGATGCCCAGCTCTTTCGAAGCCGTTCTTGCATCCTCGCCAAAGAACTGTACTGTAACCAACCTCCATGACGATGACGGTATCCAGATGCTTTCCGCTTGATGTCCAAGTATTGTATCTCCATCGGCGTCAGCTTGTTTGCCTTCTTGTCGCAGCGCCCTTCTTCCCTTGGCAGGCTTCTGGGGAGGCTCATCCTCATCCTCTTCGTCGCCGTCGCCTTCTTCGCCATTGGCATTGGGGTTGTCCTCGGATATGATCTTGTTGCGCCTCCTCAGTTCAGCAAAGCTATCTGGTCGACCCAGCTTCTTGACAAACTTCTCATGTAGTCTCTCCTTCTGCTTCTGCGAAGCTGCGGCATCCTCGTCGTCGTCTTCTTCAGGGTTTCTCTTCCCTCCGTGGAGCGGGTGACGAAGAGAATAGAAACTTGGACGTCCTATCGGCGGGTTCTCGCGGGCTTTAGTGCAGGCGTTTGTCGGGGCGAGTCGCCTTTTTTCGAATCTGACGCGCTTTGAAGGGGACGAGCGACCGGAATCGTGAGCTCCATCATCTTCGTCTATGGCGCGCTTGCGGACAGGAATTGACTGCGAGACTGGAAGGGTCATCTTCGTCGTCGTCGTCGTCTTCTTCTTGGTGTGTGTCATTGGCTGCGGGCGGAGAAGGTGCCTTAGGAGCGGGTTTGGTTGCGGGTTTAGGCGTTTGCGACGGTTTCTTGGCGAAGAAACTGGAGATGGTCTGCTGGGTGCCCTTTTGCGACGACTTGGGGCTGCGACGACGATTTGAGTACTTTTTGGCGCATTGGGTGATTCGTGGGGTTGTGACGATGGCGGGTGTACGTGTGGAGAAGCTAGAGACGCGTGAGGCAGGCGACGCGAACCGCTTCAGATTACATCACGGTGTCACGTTTTCTGGGCTTCGTCCGCATGCTTGGCTGCTACATCATCTAGGAACCTCAGTACCAAAGCTTGGCTTCTAAAGTCAACGTCTTCGATTGAAAGTCCAATGCCAGCTACTTCTCCAATCATGGTTGAGTTGCAGCTGGAACGCCTAGGTGTGCCTGTGGATTCAGCCCTGAAGCTTGACAGGACGACACCTGGACATGCTATCAACGAAGCGTGATGACTACTTGAACCGTACTATTTTGAGCTTACAGCCAGACATAAGAGGATGCATCCGTCCCCAGCATTTCTCTTTGCTCATACAAACTCGCCAGCACGCGACCAGCGTTATCACCCCCGCCTATCTCCGACCAACAACGGCCCGGCTTCGTTATCTCGAGTACTCGATAGGCCAAACTACGCAGAACCACAAGTATATGATTACCTGAACATGTCCACACTCGGCCCGCAATGGTGGCATTGCGACCAGCTTCGCACGCAATCCCAGCCCCGTGCGTTGCAGCTTCCTAATCCGTCACAGCCGCGTACTGTTACCAGTTATTGCCGTGGCTATCACCAGGTAAGGGAGGCGCAAGGCGCAAAACGCGGGATCCACCAAGCCGACTTCGGCTAGTATATAACCTGCACGATGAGCCCATGGTTCGCGCCGTCGTTGGCTTGGTGAGCTTGTTCTTCCTTCACACTTTCGTCAATACTGTGCTGCTGCGAATATGGCACGCGGTTCGCTTGTCAAGTGCTTCACCGGCCTATTGACGCTGCAGAGTGTCTTGGGTACTCCGGTCAAGAGCGGGGAATCATTGGCCCTCGGGTTACCCTGCGCCGCCCATACTGGAGGAGGGCCAGTTGGGTGCTGTTGCTTCGGAAAGTGATATCTGCAGTCATATCGGTATTGAGTTGCTGAAGCTGGGTGGTAATGCTGCGGATGCCATGGTCGGCACTGGTGGCATGTGTAGGTGTGGTCGGCATGTACCAATTCAGGTGAGTATCTTCCAAACACGTTTGTTGAGGCCGTATGTTACTAACTACAGGAATCGGCGGAGGAGGATTCATGCTTGTCCGTGCTCCAAACGGTACATATGAATTCATTTGACTTCAGCCGAAACAGCCCCCAGCAGCTGCATTTGAAGATATGTACAAGAACAACGAAGACGCCAGTATCAACGGCGGTCTAGCATCCGGTATCCCTGGTGAACTCCGTGGACTTCAACATCTTCACGAGAATTACGGAGTCCTACCATGGGCCACTGTCCTCACCCCAGCTGTCAAGGTCGCCAGAAATGGCTGGAGAGTCAACGAAGATCTTGTCAAATACATGGCCTCCGCTACCTCCTCATCCAACTTCCTAGTCGACGACCTCGAGTTTGCTCTCGATTTCGCGCCCAAAGGACGTCTCCTCCAGCTCAACGAGACCATCACGCGGAAGCGCTACGCCGACACGCTCGAGACCATTGCCCAGAACGGTCCCGACGCATTCTACAACGGCCCCATAGCAGAAGCCACAATCCGCGCACTTCAGGCCGCCAACGGAACGATGACGCTCTCTGATCTCTCCAACTACACGGTCGCCATCCGCAAGCCCTCCACGATAACCTACCGGGATTACAAGCTCACAGCCTGCAGCGCGCCCTCAGGCGGCGAAGTCGCCCTAGCCACGCTCAAAATCATGGAAGGCTACTCCTGCGTCGGCCACCCAGAAAACATCAACCTAACCACACACCGCCTAGACGAAAGCATGCGATTCGCCTACGGCATGCGCGCCGAACTAGGCGACCCCCTCTTCCTCTCCGGCATAGACACGTACCAAGAGCAAATGCTATCCGAGGCCACGGCCAAAGAAATTCGGTCCAAGATCTCCGACACCAAGACGTTCGACGTGTCGTACTACGACCCCGCTGGTCTGGAATCCCTCGAGACGCCCGGAACGAGCCATATCGTTACGGCGGACAAGAGTGGCATGGCTGTTACACTGACGACAACGGTGAACCTGCTCTTTGGAAGCAAGCTCGTCGTCCCTGAAACCGGTGTCATTATGAACAACGAAATGAACGATTTCAGTATTCCAAACACAACGAACGCGTTCGGATATATTCCCTCGCCTGCCAACTTCATCCGACCCGGTAAACGCCCTCTATCCTCCATCTCGCCCGTCATCGTCGAGCACCTCAACTCCTCGTCCATTGCAAGTGCTTTCTACGTGGCTATTGGCGCGGCGGGAGGCAGTCGCATCATCACGGCTACGATCCAGAATCTGCTTCATATCCTCGATGGGGAGATGACGACGGCGGAGGCGCTGGCCGAACCGAGGATTCATGATCAGTTGGTGCCGGCGCAGGTCAGCTTTGAGTATGGGTTTGATAATGGGACTACGGCTTTCTTGAAGGGGTTGGGCAGTAATGTTACGTGGGTTGCGCCGGGATCGAGTACCGCGCAGGGCTTGAGGCGCTTGACGAATGGCACTTTTGAGGCGGCGGGTGAACCGAGGCAGAAGAACAGTGGTGGGTTTGTCGTTTAGACAGGCTCTGGGAGTGGCTGCGGTGTTATGGCTGGACGGTACCTATACCTTATGCGTCATGAAGAACCTCAAGTACTCATGAAACCCCTCTATCTACATGGACGTTCACTGTGCATAATCTGATGATGGTCTTTACTATATCTTTTGTAATCTTTTGTACATATACAACAGCTCGACACGACCGGCTATCGACCTGACGTTACCCAAGCTAAGACAAGGTCTCTTGCGGGCACGTCCTCTCATGACATCGATGTCGCATGGAACGAAGAAATAACGCCAGGAATTTTACAGTGCAAACAGCAGAATTAGAAGGAAAAGGACAGGATGGTTTACCTATGAGATGAGACAGATTGTACGGGTCTACCCATGGCTTGGAACCTGCTCATCAGAAGGCGGTTGGTTCGGATATCGGAATCGCATCAAGACTTTTTGCCTCGACGCGACTCATGGATAGCTGACCAGACATTACTTGGGGCGCAGTATTCGAATATGAAAAGCTCGGGTAGATGGGGATGGTCACACCTCGTCTGGGCAGTACTGTCAGTCAAGCAATGAGAAAGGGCATCGAAAAGGCGCATACCAAGTTACTATCGCACTCCTAGAAGCGGCTTCGGTGACCAGGCTTTTGAGGCACAGGAGGAGCAGTGGCGGCGTCTTCGATCTGTTTCGCACTGTATTGAACACGCAATGTCAGCAAGCATAATGAGAGGACGAGAATCGTGGTGTATTACGTTTTCTAGTGATCGTGCAGGTGCAGGAAATGGTAAATACTAAAAAGTTCAAGAAGGGGTATGATGGGACACTAGAGAGTCATGGTTCGACCAGCAGCGCGCAGCGTAGTTTTGCTGTGCTGGGCAGACCTAACGCACAACTATTTGCGCTGGCGTTTGTTTGCTGCGTTGTGAGGCTGTCCTTTGCGTTTCTTCTGAGGTGGGAGTTGGGAGGGGTCGCTCTTAGCAGATGATACATACCCATTGACATCCTTATCCAGCTGCATGTACTCCTCGGCTGCGTCCTTGCCACCACGATCCAGCAAATAAGTCATGTAGTAGTGGGAGAGTTCCTTTGAGACGTCTGTGGAGAAGCGTCCTTTAGTGCGCATCAGCTCGTGCACTGCCTTTATGCGGGAATGGCCCTCTTCCTGATCAGGTGAGGGTTGTGCGATCTCGAATTCAAGATATTTGACCCAGAACTCGCGCGAGTCCAGGAATCGCTCATGTTTGTCCTTGAACACTTGGCGGGCCGCGTCGACGCTGCCCTTGCATTGCCAGAGTATGCGTGCCTGCTCAGCAGCTAGTATGCCACCGATATAG